TATTCTTTTTTTTTTTTTTTGAAGTAAAGGATTCTTTATTATTATTTTTTATTTATTTTTTAAAATTTAATTAATTAATTTATTTTTGTTACATATGTATCTCCTTTTCCCCCCACTGATTCCCCCCTTCCCCTCCCTCCCAGCCTTGTTGTCCATGTCCATTGTTCATGCACACATGCATATAAGTTCTGTGGTTTATCTCTCCCCCACCACCCCCACTTCTGGGGATTGTCAGTCTGTACCCCACTTCCACATCTCTGGGACTACCCCATTCCTCAGACTGTTATGTTCATTATATTCCACAAATAAGTGAGATTATGTGATATTTGTCTTTCTCTGTTTTGCTTAGGATGATACTTTCCAGGTCCCTCTATGTCGTCTCAAAGGATAAAAGATCTTTCTTTCTTACAGCTGCATAGTACTCCATTGTGTATATGTACCATGGCTTTTTTTAGCCATTTGTCTACTGACGGACATTTGGGCTGTTTCCGGATCTTAGCTATTGTGAATAGTGCTGCTACAAATGTGGGGATACATATATTTTTTCTGATTGGTGTTTCAGGCTTCTTAGGGTATATTCCTAGAAGTGGAATCACTGGGTCAAATGGAAGTTCAATTTTTAATTTTTTGAGGTAACACCACAGTGTTTTCCATAGTGGCTGCACCAGTCTGCATTCCCACCAGCAGTGCACTAGAGTCCCCTTTTCTCCACACCCTTGCCAACACTTGTTGTTTGATGATTTGTTGATGGCGGCCATTCTGACAGGTGTGAGGTGATACCTCATTGTTGTTTTAATTTGCATCTCTCTGATGATTAGTGATGTTGAGCATTTTTTCATATGTCTCTTGGCCCTTTGTATGTCCTGTTTGGAGAGGTGTCTATTTAGTTCCTCTGCCCATTTTTAAATTGGGTTCTTTGTCTTCCATGTGTTGAGTTGCATGAGCACTCTATATATATTGGAAATTAACTCCTTATCTGATATATCATTGGCAATTATGCTCTCCCATATAATGGGTAGCCTTTCCATTTTGATTATTGTTATTCTTAAGATATTGGCTTCTCCCAGCTGCAGTTAAGGAAATGAAGTCTGCTGTGTATTCTCTTCATCCTTAAACTTCCTGAGATTTTTGGCTACTCAATGTTTTTCACCCCTATCAGTTTGGATCTAAACTTCTCTTTAATACATAGGCCAGTTAATGGACCAAAGTATCATTTTTGGGAGATATGATATGTATCAATATACATGTTACTTAGTGCAAAGCATTTCTTATATATATACAATGGAATATTCCTTAGCCCTGAGGAAGAAGGAAATCCTGCCATTTGTGACAACATGGATAGACTGTGAGGGCATTATGCTATGTGAACATGTCAGACAAAGACAGGTATGATCCCACTTCTACGTGAAATCCAAAAATCCTGAACTTTCACAAACAGAGAGTAGAATGGTGTTTATCAGGGGCTGGGGTGTGGGGACATAAAGAGATGTTGGTCAAAGGGTACAAATTTGGCAGTTGGAAGATGAGTAAGTTCTAGAGATTTAATGCACAGCATGGTGGTTATAATCAACAGTACTTTAGTATCAACTTCAAAGTTGCTAAGAGACTCAATCTGAAATGTTCTCACCACAAAGAACTTATAATTATGTGACGTGATAGAGGGATTAGCTGATGCTACAGTGGTAATCATATTGCAATATATAAATGAATCAAATCAACACCTTAAACTTACATAAAGTTCTACGTCAATAATTAGATCACAGTCAAAAAGCATTTCTTAGCTACACTGCAAAGCACATATATCAGCTTTGATTACAACAAGCTTTCCCGTTAACACTCTGAAGTTAATAAAACTAGGCTACAAATAAAATATTAATCAATCAACAAAGGATCAAGCACTATTATCTATTTTGAAAGGAAGTCAGGCACCCTGTGGTGCAGGCCCTCCTAGGCCATATTAAAGATTATGTTTTTCCTAATGAAAGAGTTTAAGTCAGGGAATCCCAGGATCTGATTTGGGTTTTGAAAGATTACTGCAGCTACTAGATTGAGGATAAATTCAAAATGATACAGAATGGAGTAGAAAGATCATTTGGGGGGCAAGTGTAGTATGTGTTCTCTCATAAATAATAGTTGAATATGTGAAAATACACACATATACATAAATCTATCATCTATCTATCTATCTATCTATCTATCTATCTATCTATCTATCTATCTATCATCTATCTAATCTATCATCTATCTAATCTATCTATCTATCTATCTATCTATCTATCTATCTATCTATCTATCTACCTATCTATCTATCTAATCTAATCTATCATCCATCTATCATCAATCAGTCATCTATCTATCTACCTAGCAGCTACCTGTCTGCTTACCAGACGCACTCACCCCACGTGTAGCTGCCTTCCCTACCAAATGAAGCTCTGAGAGTGCAGAGGGCCATCCAGTCTGCTCTTGCAGCCCACTCAGACTTACATTCCTCTCTTCCTTGGGCCTGAATTATGTTTGACCACTGTTTGTCGGGGGGCTTCCTTCCCATGGGGTGTGTCCTCATGCATGTGCTTGTCAGGGCAGTTCTGCACTGTGGACATTTCTACCTGATGCCGCTGTGCTCTGGGACCAGAGCAGCTGCTGCTTGGTTTGTTTGTTTGGGGCACTGGTGTCTGCCCATCTTTGGCAGTTAAGTCTCTGTGCTCAACATTATCAAGATTCTGGAAGTGAAACCCAACGTGTGGTGGTGAACTTGGAATGTGAACCTCACATGGTACATGCTCCTGGGCTTCAGCATGGGAACTGGTGGACTCTGGGGTGATCACAAGCCCCATGTTCTGGGAACCTTTGCTTTGAAGCTTACTGAGGCTAAACTTAATTGTGTAGATATTTAAGTTACATTTTAATGCTTCAGAAACTTAAACAGTGCAAGGGGTCAGCAGTTCTAAGAAGCAGTTTCATAGGAGGATCTAGACATCGGGGTGCCAATGGGTGAAGGCTCATCCCTCCTCCTCCAGGCCAGAGTGACGAGTGTGCTGAGACACTAATGCCCTTGGTGGTCACTTCTAGCCATAAGCTGCCACATCTGGCTACCCTAGCATGCAGCACAGATGTTTGTACTTTCTGTGTGTGGCCATGAAGACAGCCCGCACACGTGGCTACATGGTGAGCATGTCACGTTCTCAGGAATCTCACTCTCTGGTGAGGACATCTGTAAGATGGATTTGTCCCCACTCCCAGCCTCCAGCTCCTGCAGCTGTCTACTGGACCTTCCAGTAGACAATTTCTCCCACAATAGGAGTGCCGCAGAAGCTTGGTTCACTGTTCTGTTCTATAGCCTGTCTCCAAGAGCAGGTGTGCTGTGGGCTCTGGGATCAACAGGTTCCATCTTAGTGACTGCTTTTGAAAAGCTTGAATTAGGAACCCCTCAGACACTTAGAAAGGTACTTTGGGAATGTACTTCTAGTAACAGCAAGTTTGACTGGCCAAGAACAGGGAAAATATTCCATGAAAAAGGAAATATTCCCTTTCCTGACTTCTTACCATTCCCAGTAGGGAGCTGGGTCAGTTGAACTACCTCCAGCCCTATGGAGTCTCTCGTGGTCAGCATCCTGAGGTGAGCAACAGCATTTAATCCAGACTTCATTTCACAGTGCATCGTTGCTTTGATCATTACCACTCCCCTTCTCAAAGAACTAATAGATTTGTTTGCTTAACATGTTTTTTGTGGTTTGCTCAAAAATAATATAATTTTGGAGTTGAGATGAATCTTACCCAAGCTTCTAAAGTGTCATTACATTTTACAGGTGAGGTGACTGAGGCCCTGGGGGGAAGGACTCACCTGAGGCCATCTGCTGCATTTGCTGCTCCTGCATATTGGGGGTGGGGGGCACACTTGCAGCCCTCACACCAGCTCACTGTGGACATCTCCCTGGCAGGATTTGATTTCATGCTCTACATTTAAATTCACACAAAGGTGTTAGATCAATGTTCCATTTAGGCTTAAGTGTCTTTATTTAGACAGTGTTTGAGGAAGTGTATTATAGGAGTCCCGGTTTTTATTACACACATCTCCTTTCTGGGGGAATAGAAATTCATTTGAAAAACAATAAATAGACTCTACGCTACCTGTGCCTTGGAGAAAACCACTGTGGCTCTTGTTTCCCCAACCTCCTCCCACCTCCATCCCTGCCCTTTTCTAATAAGAGCTGCCATTTTTCTACCTGGTATTGTCCAAAAACACTTTGCAAGTATTTCCAACCCTCATATAAAACTTGATAATAATAGAGCCACTTTAAAATGGAGCTGGAGTTGCATGTCAGAGGCACTGCCCTGCATGTCTTATGTCTCAAATCCTTGAAATGTTAAAATGGGAAAATCACCTTTGGACTGGACCTAAAGCAACACTAAGTCCCAAAGAAGAGTTTGCAAAGATAACAAGAAAGCAGATACTACAACAACTGGACTGATGACTACCGGACTGAAATTGTTTAGAATTGCCATCACTATGTTATGTTACCTGCACCAATAGAAAAGTCTTCCTTCTATGATGTTATTGTTCCCCTCCCCTTTCTCATAAATACACTTGCTTTGTCTCCTAATCGGAATACTATTTGGGCTCAATCAGTGCATCTCAATGGCTGTTCTCACTGATCTCCATAAATGCTTCTTGTGTCTCACTTTGAAAGTCCTTGTTATTTTTAGTTCAACACTCCCAATAACCCAATGAGGCAGACATTATTATTCCCATTTTACAGATAAGACAGTGAAGACTCTCAAAGGTAAAGTACCATGTCTCAAATCACACAGTTTGGTGACTTGTGGAATTCTACTGATTCAATCCCAAGGGCACCCTACACTGCCCACTTCCTACTGGCGAAGACATCAGGTTGCATCTCAGGGCCCTATTCAAGTCATTCGACTCACAGAGGGCCCTCCCACCCCCAATCTCTCTGTTTTATGTAGAAGACCTGTGTTAGGGAGACCAAATCCCTGTCTACCTGCAGAACTCTCCTTCCGATTCTGGCAGCAGGAGTGAGGCCACGGGGTTCTTCATCAGGTCGGCCACCATGGAGTCCTTGGGTGTCACATAGAAGTAAGGAATCCCAGTGCTGTTGTCCAAGGGACCATCACTGATGGGCACGCAGTTCCCAAATGGCAGTCCTGCGATCTAGCAAACATGAAAAGAAGACTTTTTCACTGCATGGTTGTGGATTGCCCTGAGCTGGGAGCTCAGCTTGTGTCCCTGACCAGGAAGGGCAGTGCCAGGGATGTGAAGGGAGCATGGCTGCATGGTGGTCCTGAGGGGAGTAGTCAGGGTGTGGTGGTTCCCTTCCGCCCAGTTCGCCCCGTGATGCTCCAGAATTCCTGCAGAGGAGCTCAGCGTGAACTTCTGCTTGGGAGGGTGGCTAGGAGGTTAGTCTTGAAGCTGTAAGTATGTACAAAAACACACTCACTGTACTAAATCTGAAGTTATTTGGGGAGGGAAAATGAAATTTATGGAGGGCTACTAAAACCCTCCCCACCAGTGACCCTGGACACCCACTGGCTTCACTGCCTCCTCCAAGTGTTTGGTAACTTTGGGGTTAGGATTGACTTTGACATCTTACCTGGTCTTTGGACTCCAGGAACTTTCTATTACTATTTCTTTAGGGCCATACCACTTTCTCACGTACTAGTCATATTTTTTAATTGATCAATAACAAGTCATTGCCTGGGCTGGGTAGCTCAGTTGATTAGAGCATCGTCCTGCTACACCAATGTTGCAAGTTTGATCCCCAGTCAGGGCACATACAAGAAGCAACCAATGAAAGCATAAATAAGTGGAACAAAAAATCAATCTCTCTCGCTTGCTCTCAAATCAACTTTAAAATTTTTTTACAAAATCATTATATAATTCACTGACTTTTGGGAAATTAATTTCTCATCCTTTTAGCTTACAGGAACTCACAGAACTGTGTTATGCCAATTTTTGTTCATGATCATCTAGTAGAGTAGGTGAGATTTTCAGACATACATAAATATTTCTTAGGTCTTCTAAAGCCCTGCTGGGTCCAGCATCCCCATGAACTCCCTGGACACAGTGTTCCTCATTGTAACTTAGCTCAAAACTCAGGGGCTGTCTTTGTCTTTGAAGTGTGGCAAGACAACAGCGTGTAGAACTGTAATAAAGGATGGCTTGAATTTTTTAAGAAAACAAAATGTTAAAGAGTCCTTCAAAATGGTAATATGAGTTCATTCACATATTCTATTTTCTACTTAGTCACAAACAGCCTAGAGTCATGCTTTGCACACATGGCAGGCACCATGTAAATGTTCTCCGAATTCACTGAGTTTAGGTTAAACACCAGTATTGGAAAGGGGAACTCCTAATGAAGCTAAGAAAAGGGATGTCAAAAGTCAAAATTCAATTCCGGTCAGGGCACATGCCCAGGTTGTAGGCCAAATCCCCAGTAGGGGGCATGCAGGAGGCGGTCAGTAGATGTTCTCTCTCATCAATGTTTCTATCTCTCTCTCCCTCTCTAAAATCAATGAAGAAAAAAAGAAGTCAAAATTGCTTTAATACATTGGCACCAGATTTAATTGCTTGAAACGATCTGCATTTTAAACCAAGGTCAGCTTCATGTTTAAGCTTTGTATCTCTCAAGGTGTGTTTTAGGAGCTAACATGACCTTGAAGAACCGTTTGGATGCTGTGGGAGAGGGCGAGGTCATTGCCATAATCAGAATCAGGTTGCCATTTAGATAATGTTTTTAAGCTAAACAGGGCTTTCAAAACTACCTAGTCAATCTCTTAAATTCATAGATGAGGACAGCAAAATGGAGAACCCAATGATTTGGCTACAGTCTCAGAGCTAGTGAGACCCACTCTGGGAGCAAGAACCTGCTCTCTGGACAATGTGCTAGATGTTCCATACAGTAACTGTTTTTGGCATGAGAGTTCACTTACTACCCTGCAGAAAACCCCTTACATCTATCTTAGCCCCAAAAGCTTTCTGGAGGATGTATATGTATGGATGCTACACCCTCACCATTTACCCATGTCGCTTCAGCTTCAGGTGGAATCAGGTCTAACAGATGAGGAAAACATTTGTGAACTGAACAATAAAATCTGCAGTGGGTGACAACTCATTTCAGCATTTACACACTTGGCACAATAAGCCTCCATTCCAGAGAAATTCTTGAGTTCCATTCCCCCCCTCATTTAAAAAAATGTCAATTTCCACCAAAGCCCAGAAAGATATCTCTTTCTCCCAGTCCCCGATTTGGTTCTGTGTTAGTGACAGGGAAGTTCGGGTCCACTGGCCCGCCCTGTGAGCTGGGAGAGGCTGATTGCAACTACCATGTTGTCAAAGGACAACCAGCGGTTTCTTGTATCCTGGTCTCTGGTCAGGCGCTGGTTATTTGTCCGTCTCTACGAGTGAGCATCGCAACACTGCATTTCAGTCCCCATCTACCTGGCAGAAAGCCTGGCTGTCAGCCCCACACACACTTTGCCAGGAGGCCCAAGGGAAAATCCGGTTCCATTGCTTACACGGTGCCTACAGGCCAATCCAGCCCACTGGGCACATCTGTTAAACCTGCATCCGAGTACGTGAGTGGTCGCCAGCGTCTCCCTAGCATCTTCCTGTCCCCTGGGTGAGTCGCCTGGGTGCCAGGCCACTGCGAGGCACGCACCTGCCACCAGCTCCCTGAGAGGTGGCTTACCTTCTCCTGCGCGGACACGGTGGCCAAACAGCCCCAGGTGCTGGCATGGGCCAGGAAGCGGGCGGTGCCGGGGCGCAGCCTCGAGCCGCTCTCGTGCGGGTACGAGAACATCCCAGGCGGCGCGGCAGGCGGCTGCGTGCGGGCGGTGCCCGCGGCGGGCGGCAGGTGCGGGTCCTTCTTGTGCGCCGAGGTCGAGGCCGGGAACCTCCGTTGCCAGAAGCTGCCGGAGTCCTCCAGGTGCGCGGGCATCGCCTCCTCGGTGGAGGCGCGGTCCAGCTCCTCGTCCACCTCGGTGGGGACGGCCCAGGACAAAGAGCTCACGATCACGTAGCCCGCGGCGGGGACGAGCAGGGCGCTGCAGCACAGCACCCAGGGGAGGCTGGTCGCGGGCCGCGCCGGCCGCTGGCCCTGGCGCACCGACATCTTGCGGGCGATGCTCCGGCCGCGGGACTGCCCGCAGCGCTACAGCGGCCGGGGGAGGGGAGCAGCGCCCCCGGGTGGCGGATGCGGGGAACTGGAGTTCACTTCGCTCCCCGGCAGGAGCCCCCCACCCTGGGGGGTGCCCTCCCTGGCAGCTGGAGAAGCCGAGGCTTCCGCAAGTCCGGATTGCGCTCCCAAACTGTCCGCTCCGCAGTCGCTGTGCGGGCAGAGTCCGCGCTGCGGGCCGGTGGGGGGGGGGGGGGGGGGCGCTTCGGTTCTGCAGCCCGACAATGGGCCTTCCAGTCCCGTCTCATACTCTCCACGTTCCGGCAGTGTGACCCTGACGACCACAGCCTCTTTTGTGCACCAGCTCCTCACGGGAAAACGGAGAGAAACCGTATTTAACTCATAGGGCTGGGAAGATTAAAGAGTTACTATTTGGAGACTTAGAACAGGGCGTGGCCTGAAGCAAGCATTGCATTTTGATAATAGACAACGGTAGAGATTATTATCATCATTTTATGGAGGAGGAAACTGAGTCAAGTGACGGTAAGATTAGTACTAAGTCGTCTGATGCGAAAGCTCATTCTCTTGCTCTGTTAGGACAATGCCCGCCTTACACTTGGCGAGGACGGGAGGGCGTTGCCGCCAGTGCATCTAAACGCAGAACCAAGTTTGTTCCAGATAAACTACGATGAGGGCCAGCCAGCACCCAGAGAGCATGACTGGGATGGAGTGGACAGAGAACTACATAAATGCACCACAATTTTTAAATAGTGTCTTTTTGATGGAAATTGGGGCTGTTTCCAATAGTAAAGTTTTATACATATCAAAATAATTTAATCGATTTATGCCTTTAAACCCATGCTTATGGTATCTATAATGTGGTCCGCTAGGCAACATGCCCTTCTCTAGAGTTTTACCTAAAATGTAATAGTCTCGCTTTAGATTTGTCATGGAAATAACTTGAGCTCGCACTAGAATCTTTTTTATTTATTAATTTGTTTTTGTTACAGATGTTTCTCATTTTTCCTCATTGACACCCTGCACTAGAATTTTTAAGGCATTTGGCAAGCGTTGCATTCTGTGGCAACCAGAGGATCCACGATGTGCCCCATCCCCACTCATCTACCTCCTCCTGTCCCCTTTATTCAAAGCCATTTTTCTTAAATTCTGCTTAATCTCCTCAATGAGCTCCAAGCTGTCCCCCGTCCCACCTGACTGCCCTTCCCAGGATGACCTCTTTCTAGCCTTTTTCTTACTGGAGCACCCTAGGGCCTTCACATACCGACCTTGCTCCTCCTTTGGGTCCTTTCTTCCCGGCTGGTTGGGCTGGTTGCGAGTTCTGCCTCTTGCCTTTTCTTCTCTGTCCTGTCTGAGTGATGTCGCTCTGGTGGCTCTGCCTTCCTCTCATGCTGCTGACTTGCGAACCCACATTTCCTCCCTGGTGCTCTTGCGTGATTTCTCTCCCACTCGCTCCCAGAACGATGTGTCCCATAGACTGGGAAAAGCAGTCTAATAAGTCTTTAAAAACACAGGCTTGAGTCAAATGAGTCCAAATCCTGCTCTGTCACCTGCGGTCGTGTCTGTAGAATAGGAGTCACATCTGTCTCAGGAGCCTGCAGGAGCAAAGACGCTCACCACAGCCCCCCTCCCATCACGTGCTCTGCTGGAATAGGGGGAGCCTGCTGCCGACTGCTTGCCCCCAAGGCTCCGGTCTTGGCCGTTGGCCGTAGGGACCACTTCTTCCTTGGAGGCTCTGGTGGAGGTGGGTGACCTCTCTGCCAGGCCTGGCGCCTGGCGTGAACAATGAATGTCCAGTGCTGACTGTTCCGGGTTGATGTGCAGTCACACCTGCTGTGATGGATATTTTATCAGTTTGATAGGTTTGAAGCAAAGTGCACACTCTTTATTATCTTGTTCCACTAAAAACCAAGCAATAACAAAATGAAATAAGAAACCCCAACAAAACACTGCACAGAAGGGGACGGGGCAGAGGCTGGTGAAGTATCGTAGCATCAGGTATGAGGTGAACGCTTTTTTCTTTCATAGATTTTCAAAGATGGGGAGAGAGAGTAAAATGAGCTTTGTTACTGTCTAACCAATAATGTATTTGAAGAATTTTTCAGTGGAACCTTTCCAGTGGGAAAGAGTGGCTGTAGAGTGGGGTCCAGATGTGAAGGACTTACGATGCCATCAGCCTTCATGCCTCCACAGAGAAGGCGGGACATCCATGTCGGTTCTGGGGAAGGAAATGGGAGGACCACTGCAGTCCCTGGGCTTTCCTCCTGGGCCCCTGGAGGGAGGAGGGACCATCCTATGGGCCAGTCTGGGGAGAGGAACCCAACCCGCTGTCTCCGCCTCTGCAGGCTCATTCTTTCCTTTCCTGAATGGTCTGTGTGCCCTCTCTTCTGCCCTGCCTGAGCTGCCTGCCCCTGGGTGAGGGGGGTGCTTGTTCTGTTCTGTCTGCGACTGAGGAAGTGAGTGAGTTCAGTGGCAGAACCAAACAGGGGTAATAGTTTGTCAAAATTGTCTATTATCGTAAGCTCTCTGATTCTTGTGCTTTATTTCCCAATGAGACCCAGAGTCAAAGGGCATTTAAGAAGGCGAGAAATAATCCCTTCAAACCCCATCACATAAACGGTGCCGAGAGCTGGTAAATTCTCAGTAAGGCGCAGCCATCACTATTTAGCCATTATTATTTGCCTTTTGCCACCCCCACCCCTCCGCCCCGAATATCTAACAGGTCTTTCACACTTACCTTTTAGGAGATACTCCTCTGTAGATTTTTTGCATTCGTACAGAGTCTGAGCCTGTTGAATAGGTGTAAAAAGCTAGAGACAGTGTGTCCTTCCGGAGAGGCTTAGAGTCCTATTTCCCTCAAGACTTCCGAGGTGGTAAGTAAAGCCCCTCTGGTTGCCAGCAGGAGAATTGTCCCCAGAGACGTTTGCTTACATTTCAGGCTAATAAACCTAGAGACACCTGGAGATTTCCTTATATTGCAGGGCATCACAGCTGCCCCTAGAGAAGCTCAACATCTCATAATTTCAGAGTTCCTTTTCACAGGTAGACGTGCAGGTAATAGTTAGCCTTCATTGCAACGTCCTGTGATAGTGCTCTGGCTGTTTTCTTTGAGTAATAAGTGAGCCATTTCTCTGACCCAGGAATCTTGACTTCTATGAACACACACACACACACACACACACACACACACACACACACACACACTGTGGCAGGATAATGTTGTTTTTCCCATAGAGTAAAATCTCAGCTCCTTCAGTGTTGGGCAGCCTTCTAGTCATATCCGACCCCCTAAGTCACTGCTCCTCCTGCATCTATCCTCTCAGTGTGTGGCACTAGCACCCATTATGGACCTGGTCACTCAAAGGAACCAGTCACCTCCTGTCAGAAATATATGTAATCTACCCAATCCTTCACCATGACCAGAGTATTTTATCTCTTCAATATTTTTAATCTCTTAATATGTTCTCTCTTTTTTTTTTTTCATGCATTCTCTTACTAACTTGGTCCCGTCTTTATATTTTCTCATTAGATTTCTCATCATTCCCATGCTAGAAACGCTTCAGTGGCTTCTCATTGCCAGTAGGAGAAAGTCCAAGCTCCTTAGCCCAACACACAGGCCGTGTAAACCGGTTCTTGCTTTTGCTTCTATCTTGTCTCCTGTGTGTACATCCCTGAATATTATAGATTAGTTTGATTTATTCTGAATGTTATGTAAATAGAAACATTTATGTATTTTTTTGTGTCTTTGTACTTTCAGTCAAAGTCACTTTCATGGAAATCATTCTTCTTGTGTTGTCTCTGTTGCTGGCACAACACATCCCCATGTTTAAAATGCTGAGACTTGTCTCTTCTTTGTTGAAGTATCTGTTTCAATATTTGCTCATTTAAAAATCTGGTTGTATGTCTTCTTACTATTGAGTTGTGAATGAGAGGGATTTTATATATCCTCCATATTAGTTCTTTATCGGGTATATGCTTCACAAATATTTGCTCCCAGTCTGTGGCCAGCATTTGTGTTTCCTCCTTCCTTCCCTCTGTCTTTCCCATCACCATTCTTCCCTCTGTGCCCTCTTTCACCCCCCGCCCCCATCCATCACCACACTGTTGTCCATGTCCCTGAGTTTTCTCTCTTTTTAAAAATTTTTTTGCCCAATTCCTCCACCTCCCCCCCCCAACCAGAGCTGTCTGCCTGCTCTCTATGGGTCTGTATCTATTTTGCTTAGTTGTTCAGTTTGTTCGTTACATTCCATGTCATACAAATGAGATCATATGATACTTGTCTTCTTCTGACAGGCTTATTTCACTGAGCATAATGTTCTCTAGGTCCATCCATGCTGCCGCAAAGGGAAAATTTTTCTTCCTTTTTACCACAGAGTAGTAGCCCCTTGTGTAAATGTATGGCAGCTTTGTTATCCACCTGTCTACTGGACTCTTGGGCTGTTGTAAATAATGCTGCAATGAACACAGGGGTACATATATTCTTTCTAAATAGTGTTTTGGGTTTCTTTGAATAAATTCCCAGAAGTAGAATGGTTGAGTCATAAGGCAGTTTTATTTTTAATTTTTGGAGGAAACTCCATACTGCTTTCCACAATGCATGCACCAGTCTGCATCTCTACCAGCAGTGCACAGGGGTCCCCTTTTCTCCACATTTTCACCAACACTTGTCATCTGTTGATTTGATGGCAGCCATTCTGATAGGTGTGAGGTGATATCTCATTATGGTTTTAATTTGCATCTTTCTGATGATTAGTGATGTTGAACATTTTTTCAGATGCCTATTGGCCATCCTCTGTGGAGAAGTGTCTGTTCAGGCCCTTTGCCCACTTTTTAATTGGATTGTTTGTGGAATTTTTTTTGGTGTGTGTTGAGTTGTATAAATTCTTTAAAATTTTGAGTATTACCCCCTTATCAGATGTATCATTGACAAATATGTTCTCCCATTCAATGGGTTGTTTTTTCATTTTGTTCATGGTTTC